TCCCGATCCCCATCTACCCCTCCCCTCCACTTCCTCCACTCCCTCCCCTCCCTCCCCTCCCCCAAGCAGTAGCTGCAGCACAAACAAACAAAAGCAATCCTCCCTCCCTCCTTCACTCTCCTTTCCCCCACACCGCCATTCAAATTCAAATTCAGACTTACCCGTCGATAAAAACAAGCTATCTAACACTTAACACTCCACCCTCCTCTCTTCATCCACTTCTACTTCTTCTCTACATACCTAGTCACATTCACATTCACATTCACATTCACATTCACAACATCGCAAGTTCCATCATATTTCCATTAGATATAAGTTCCAATTGCTCAAATGTAGGACCACCAGGTCTCACATTTCCAAAACCACATGCATCTTTAATACATATAATATATATGTACCAGCATATATTCTCATTAAATATGCAATCCTATATCCTCCTTCCTCCTTCCTCCCTCCTCGCTCCGACCTTATTCCCATATCATATACCCACCAATCATCCATGCATATACCCCCAATACCATCCTTCCAAATCCCAACCATGTTCACAATTCCAGACCTTAATTCCCTTTCCCATTCATCATGAAACTCTATTTCCATGCCTCACAAACTATAACCCTTGAATCAAACACCTACATCAAATCCATTTTTGGAAAAATTCTCGGTCCCGCAAATCCCTTGACCACCACACTCTGAATATCAATATTTCCATCACTCCTCCCATCTGGACTCCACAACTTCAAAAGAATATATTTTCCACTAATCGGTGTACTAAATTTAATAGTACACTTACTCTTATCCCTCTCAATAAAGAATTTCGCATGAGGAACCATAAGTTCACCTCCTACAGCTGCAACTGCTTCTTGTGTTGCAATTTGAGATGCTTCTGCCGCTTCTGCTAACGTAATATTACTAGCTGTTTCCCTCCTTTCCAATTGTGGTCTATTTCTTGAGACTCTTGCAGAATATGATGCATCGTAATAGTAATGAGTACCATCATCTGAAAGTCTGTAACCAGCTGGAGGAAATTCATCTTCATCATCACTACTTTCTTCCGGTAATCGAAGATCATCTGGGATATCTCTTGATACTCTCATTCTATAAGCTGCTCGACGATTTCTTCGAGGTTGATCCTCATTATCAGAATAGTCACTACTACATTCCATAGTGACTTGATATGGTGAAGTAATATTGGTAAAATCGGATGGAATTTGGGCTGTCGGTGGAATGTATGGAGTATTTAAGTCGCATTCAGGATCTTGAGCACCCAATTCAACAAGACGTCCCGCACGAGCTTGAGCTGTTGTCATACTTCTAGTACCATCATCATTATGACGAATAGACACTATAGAAACAGGTAGCCTTTCTCGAGATGGTGAGGAATATTGAATTTGATATTGCGCAGTACGAGTAAGGAGATCGTTCGATGTTCCGGAGACAAATACCATACCTTCTTGAACTCTGAATATTAATTAGCATTGCGCATTATTGGAAACAGATCATAAAATACTGACGGGGCTGTGTATCCTTTATGAGGTGCCTTGATAACTATTTCTGAAAGAGAAAATGTAGTTTCGCCTTGATGTTTCAAGACAATATTACAACGATTACTTTTAGTACAGTAAACGGTATTATCATCTTTCAAAACATTATCTGAACCATATTCTCCTTCTGGACAACTTTGAAATAATCCTCCATCACAACTAACAATCTCCATTTGTAAAGTACCAGGTTCGACTTGACCATACTTTCCATATTTAAAGCCTTGCCACGATGCTCCTTTATTATCTTGATCCAACTTTCTTCTCTTGGTCCTACGACCAAACTCTCCCTCGGTGACATGATCGGGTGACGGTAGCCTGGAACCGATTGGGGTCGCTAATAACGTTCGAAGGTTTAAACTTGCGGCTTCTAATTGTCTTACATCTTCGGATAAGGAGTTCAGAAGATTGCCTCCGACTGAAGCACGTTGTGGTTCCATATATCGATCGGATTGTAAGAGGCGAGGTCTTCGACGACCAAGTAGAGGAGGAATAAGCCTGGTTGCATCTCGCCTTCTTGTAACTTCGGCTCTTCGTGCATTTACATCCCTTTCCCTCTCCCTCTCATTCTCATCAATTTCCTCCCGACTTGATCCATGATTTAATGTTGAGCGTCTTCCTCCTAATCTATGTTGCCTCTCGACCCTACGTTCTGACGATGACATATTTCTTATATCTTCGGCTTCTGCTCTTCGTGCTTCAGTATATCGACCTATTGCTCTGTAAAGTTCGCCCGATGGACTGATGGTATTATTCGAATTAGGACCGCGCTCTAGAATTTCTTGAACTAATCTTTCTGCTGTTTCGGTGGGAGAATCTGTAGATGAATGACTCGGTGGATCATCAAAGTTCCCCGACTTTATTCAAATTAATTAGTGGGATAGATCATATGGCGAGTGTTAAGAAGATGAATGTACCATTGAAAAGAGACGCCTTGACATAGGGGATTGGATTGAATTGAATCTTTGTAAGCTAATGGCGAGGCGATTGCGGAGAGAATGAATATGGATGTTCTCGAGTGGATTGATAAAGGATGTGGGGAGAGATATTATTCGTATAGGAAGTTTCTGTAATAAGAAGTTTATGGATCGCTGATGTTGAATGTATGTGTGTACTCCGTATGTATGTATGTACTAGGTAGAGGTGTGTGAGTGGATATTTAAATATTTGATCGATTGGGTGATGGTGTTGTAGTAAGAAGACGTGGTTTGTTGAACCCTTGAAGTAATGAAGTAAGTGAGTGAGGTCTGAGGTGTGAGGTGTGAGGTGTAAGGTGTAAGGTGTAATCACGTGTAAGGAGTGAGGTGTGAGGTGTGAGGTGTGAGGTGTGATGAGCGATGAGTGAGGTGTGAAATGCGAAATGTGAGGTGTGAGATATGTAATAAGTGAGGTAAAGAATTGGTGTGAGTGGTGGTGAATGGTGAATGGTGAATGATCATGGCAGAAATTCCTATGGGACTTTGTGGGGTTGATTCGGATTACATAATAGAACTAGGACAATAGAAGATTAGATAGGAACATCATTGGACAAAGAACTGGGTAAGCAGGCAGGTAAGCTGAGCTGTGGATGGCAAAGTGAATATCAATCAAAATTTGAACACCCAACAAGTAAACATTTCCATATTCGAATTATCGTGGTATTTTGAACAATTATCCAATACAAGTCATCGCAGCCTCAATATCCAAAAAGTATATCCTCCTTAATGAATCAATCAAAAACAAGGCACAATTTCAGCCTCACATCTCAAAAAATCACGCTAAGATAGCAAAAGATTAAGCTTTAAGGTTACTTATCATCAAACCATAAGGTTGCCTCGTTGCCTTCCTTCACCTACGAAATCAAGTTCTAGAATTTGGATATCTACATCTCCAGCTTCTCCCGCCTTCCAATTCTACAACCAACAACCAATATCCATTCTCACAATTCCACAATTCCACAATATCCAAAATGGATCTCCCTTCAATGGAAGTACCCAATCCCAACGTCGTACCCATCATGACTTCAGCAGGTATCAGCGCCGGTAAGTCTTCTCTTCTCTCCCCTCCTAGCAAACAACAAACAACAAGAAGCAAGAAAAAACTAACACTCATTCCCTCAAAGATGAAATCGCGCTCTATGATCGACAAATCCGACTCTGGGGAGTGCAAGCCCAAGAAAAAATCCGCTCCGCCAACATCCTCCTCATAACCATGAAAGCCCTCTCCAACGAAATAGCCAAAAATCTCGTCTTGGCCGGAATCCACTCCATAACCATCTGCGATCATGCTATCGTTACCCCCGCCGATCTAGGTGCTCAATTTTTCATCTCCGAAGCTGATATTGGGTCAAACCGTGCTGAAGCCGCGGCGCCTCAAATACGAAAATTGAATCCGAGAGTAAATGTGATTGTGGATAAAGATGATATCAGAAGCAAAGGACCGCAATATTTTGGGGGATTTGATATTGTGATTGCGACGGATCTGGACCCGGAGAGTTTGAATATCATTAATACGGCTACGAGATTAAATCACAAACCTTTTTATGCAGCGGGGGTTCATGGATTCTATGGCTTTATTTTCTCGGATTTGATTCAACATGATTATGTGGTGGAGAGAGAACGAAGCAATAGACCTACACTTCTACAATCGGAAACACGAACTCGCAGTGTCATTGATGTCAAGACGAAGAAGGAAAATGGAAAATCTATGGAGGTTGTTACAAAGAGAGAGTTTTATTCGACCTGGTTTTTGGCGAGTGATGCTGCAACATTACCTGCTGAATATCTCAAAAGCAGACGTCGTTTAAGGGCAGTTACTCCAATTTTGACATGTCTACGAGCATTATGGGAATTTGTTCAACTTCAAAATGGTCGATTGCCTTCAACCAAAGAAGACCTTCAGCTATTTACTGTCTTGGCTCATAAAAAGCACACAGCTTTAGGGCTTCCTGTTGAAACACTACGTTCGGAAGTCCTACGAAGTTTTCTCCAAAATCTTGGTAGCGAAATAGCTCCTGTTACAGCGGTCCTTGGTGGTCAACTTGCACAAGATGTTATTAATGTGCTTGGTCACCGACAACAACCCATTCAAAATATGGTTTTGTTTGATGGAGATACAATGGAAGCACCAATGTATGCTTTACATCCTGAAGGTACTCTTGGTGAAGGGTTGCTGAAGTCGGGTGGAGAGATCCTTATGAATGGTCCAGTCATGGTACAACAAGCATCATTCCCTCTGGACGTCATTGAACTCTAGATTTCGGCAAGTGCGAAGAAAAGTCGATAACATCAAAAATTGGCGGATATGGCGTTATATCGGAGGAGTTTCAGGGTAAATGTACAAATAGATGATATCATAGTATGGCAAATAGCCAACTACGCATAATGAGTAACAACGTTTTCGCCGATCGTGTGGAAGATTGATGTCTCCTTGGAATCTTTTGCTTGTTGCCTAGACTTCTTCTCTTGGGTTGTTGGTGCCGCTTCATCTTGTCTCGGTCCAATCTTGGTTTAGAGGTTCATCTTCGTCCCCGCTAACACCATTTATGATATCTTCCTCGTTATCTTCATCATCCGATCCACTATCGTCATCTCTTTCAATCCCCTTCTCAAACTCCGCATCATCCGCTTCAAAATCTTCATTCATATCCTCATCTTCGCCTTCCACCTCACTCTCATCATCACTACTCTCATCCTTCTTCTTCTTCCCAACTCCCTGTTTCACCCCCTCCCCCTTTCTCACAAACACAAAACTTCTGCTACTCCTCTCCTCTCCCTTCCATCCCCCTCCTCCCTTCACAACCCCCATTGTCCGCGCATGTTTATACCCCGGATACGCTCCCGCCTGAAACTTAAAACTCCGCTCCACTTCCAATCCAGCATGTCGACCTAGATCGCGTATATTCCACAACGTGTACGGTTCGCCTTCGAAGAGTGTGATGATTATTGAAGAGCCTTTTGTAGGGGAGAGAGAGGGGATTGCGCGCGCGAGAAAGGATGTGAGAAGTTCTGGAGGGTGCGTTAGTATTTCTTTCGGAAATGGAAGCGCATGTTCCTCGAATAGAATAAGAAGGGATCAGAAAAGAAAAACAAACCTTGATTATACCTAACCTGCCGATTCACATCCGTACTCTTCCCACCCACATGCGGAAAATTAAAAATAATCCGATCCATCACCCCATCTCCCCTCCCTCCTTTCGCATTCGTCCACGCTCGCATCTTCGTCGCATCAACCCCATATTTTACAATTCCTCCTCCCTCTTCAATCTCCTTTATATTGTCTCCCACATGCGGATATTTCTCCTGCAGTATCTGGAGTGAAGATTCGAAAACCGTAGCAGTTAACTTTTTTACTTCGTGATGGGTGATTAAGGAACGCGCAAATGAGAGATCGCCGTCGCCTATCAGCAGGATGGAATCGCGAGAGGAAAAGGGGATTATAGGAATAGTCTGGTGTGTTTGTTTGTGTTTTTTCGCGGGCATGCCAGAGGGTTTGGGGGTCTTGGAGCTGGGTTTCGATATTCCGGCTGGTTTGGGTTTTCCGGGTCCGCGGCCTCCCTTGATTTTTTTGGAGGAGGACTTGAGACGTTTATTTTTGCCCATGCTGGGTTTCTGTATATATAATTGTGCGATTGGGCGGGAAAAGGGAGGATTGCGAATTGCGAATTGAGAATGCGAATTGAGGATTCGAGGGGAGGAAAGTTCATAACCTGAAGATGGAAATTATTATGGAGATGCGGGGACGGGGATGGGTTGCGGCCGCTTGGTCCGCTTGAGATTCTTATCCGCCCGGTGAGTTTCGTTGGTCTGAAGTATCAATATTCTACAAGTTTCTTTCCATGTGTGGTGATATCTCTGATGTCTGTTCTTCCGCGCTGTTAGAGATCCTGTCTGCATGTACTGTATCAAGTGGTTATTGTAATTCAGAGCTTATGTCATGCACCAACTAAAGTTACCGGTGTTTCTTCACAACTTTCATTCATTGTCCTCCAATTTTCCCAAATCAATGCTTAGATGTTTTTTTGAATATCGTCCCCAACTGATTGTTTGAGTGAGAGGGTGAAAAGGATTCTATTTTGAGCGTTACATTTGCTTTTTTTCCTACTTGGCTGTTGAAGAATGTGCATCTCTTCTTCTGATCTCTGCCTCAACGGCCTCGATAATATGAAAGACCAGTCCCGGTTTCTCGTCCAAGTTTGCTTCCAAGTCTGAATCTTTGAATATGGATGAAGTTGTGAAAATATAAGAGAAATACTTCACATTTGATCAGAAGAGAGTGATTGGTCTCGTCGACTTGGAGTTCATTGTACCTGTTGAAAATCCTGGGTATCTCTTCACAGGTCATTGATTAATTGTGACAGTTATCTTCTAGTAAAGGGTAAGCTCTGAATATCCTTTTCTGAACATCAGATTAGCACAAGTATATCAGCGTCGTTTGATTTTGGAATAACTTTCATTCAAGCAGATATGCTCTGCATTTTGCCATTGATACACATTAATAAAAAAATCCATCTCCAAATCTCCCTCTAGCAACACTTCTAGAGAAATCAGAAATATCGGAGTTGTTTCCATATGTAGTTGTGATACTGCACATGATGAGTTGCGTTAGTGTCTACCAACCTCTACTGTGGTTGGAACTGAGAATGGATATGTGCCAACAGAGGAGGAATTCCCCAACATTACGTGATGTTGGTCTTTCAAGGGAATAATCTCTTCTTCATTGAGCAATGTATCACTATTTAAAGGATGTAGTTTCTCAAAGGAAATGTTAGGATTGATTTGGAGAAGTAAAACGATCACTCAAGATGTCTCCAGCCACAAGAATAGCAGAGTTAGCCGCGACGATTCAAAGAAATACCAGCAAAGTTGATGAATATCTAACATCGAATAATATTCCTTCTCCTTCTTTTGATGTCTCTTCGCCCCTCAGACTCTCTCTACCGCCAGACATTCAAGCTTCTAGAAATGCTGTTCTTGAGGCATCGGATGAGTTGACTGCTCTTATGCTTGGACCTGTGGAATCTTTGATTCCTCCAGTATGTCTTCCCAGTATTTTCCCTTCAGAATAAAAATAAATTGACTTTTTGTTTTCATAGCCAAATGCTTGGATAAGTGTGACCGCTTTACAACGATTTGGGATGTAAGAACAATATTTGAACCTAACTTAAACGTCATCAAATCATGTCCATAGACACATGCCTTCTTCATTATGTTCTCTCCTACACCTTTAACCCACAAACAACTAACCATCACCCCAGCGCTAAATCATTCCCCCCAACCCGCACCTCCACCTTCCTCGAAATCGCCGAAAAATGTTCCATCCCCGAATCCGACGCCCGTAGCCTAATCCGACACGCAATGACCTTCTATATATTCCACGAGCCATCTCCAGGAATAATCGCACACACAGCATCTTCCAAAGCGCTTGCCGAGATCCCTCCCGTCTCCGATTTCATCGGTTTCGTAAGCGAAGAAATGCTACCCGCTTCTACTCGTCTCGTCGATGCTATGATCAAATGGCCTGGATCGCAGGAATCTAATGAATCGGGCTATGCACTTTTTAATGGAACAGATGTTCCTATGATGCAATACATATCAAGGAATTCTAGACGCTCGCAACAAATGGGAAAAGCGATGACTTTTTTGAAAAGCAGACCAAGTGAGAGTGTACAACGCGTTTTGGAAAAATTTCCATGGGACGATGCTGCAAATGGTCTTGTGGTAGATGTAGGCGGTGCGAAAGGAACAGTTGGGATTCAGCTTTTGAGGTTTCTTCCCAAGCTCAAGTGTATTGTTCAGGATCAACTCGAAGTAGTCAGAGATACAACCGTACCTGATGATTTGCAGGACAGATTAAGTTTCATGGCGCATGATTTCTTTCAAGAGCAATCTGTAAAGGGAGCAGATATATATCTTATTTGTAATGTGTTACATGACTGGTCTGATAAATACGCGGCTAGGATTTTGAAAAATTTGATTCCGGCGTTGAAGAAAGGAGCGAGGGTATTGGTTTGTGATAGGGTGCTTCCGGCTCCGTGTACATTGACGCCATATCAGATGAGGAGACAGAGGTATGTTTGGTTATTTCACGTTGTGGGAATGAGATTCATTGGCTAACTCATATCAGAGTAGATGATTTATATATGAAAGGGATCCAGAATGCTAGAGTTCGCGATCCGAATGATTGGGAACAACTTTTTTTGTCGGTGGATGAGAGGTTTAAGTCGTTTCAAGTGGGAGCGGTTGATGGGTCGGAGTTGTCTACGATTTGTGTTACTTGGGAGGGTGAGGATATGTTTGAGATGTGATGGTTCGGTGGATATGATGGATGAATTCAAAATTGCATTCGCTTTTGATAATCTAATGATTGGATTCACCAATATTTCTTTCTGTGGGATGGGCGAGCAATTGAAAAACCTTTGATCTCGCGATGACTGTGGCGAATTATGAACAGAGATATCACTCTCGTATTTGCATCCAACGAGTATCAAAAGCTCCCTGAACTTCATAATAAATGTATGAATGCCATTCAATCCAAATCAAATTTTCGAAGGAAACTCACACAACTCATCAACGTAGAATTACACTGAAAGATTTAACATTTTACATTCGTAATTTTACATAACTTATAATCATTTTCATCCACAATATACATCTTACTCCATACTCTTAATATCACTCGCAACCTCGAACTTAGCATCGGTCTTTTGTCTAACCTCCTCAACATCAACACCTGGTGCCAGCTCGGTCAACGTGAGACCACCATTGATTCTGTCAACTTCGAATACACACTACAAATATGGGTGTTAGTATTTTAATCATTAAATCTTTCCATCAACCCAAATCCTAAGGGTTGATAAGGCGGAGAGGAAATTTAGAGATATACGAAGACTTACCAAATCAGTAATAATAGTGCTGACAACCTTTGCTCCAGTCAAAGGTAAACTGCAATCTTGAACAATCTTTGCACTTCCATCTTTTGCTACATGTTCTGTTGCGACGACGATTTTAGTTTCGTCAGGGTTAGAGACGAGATCCATTGCTCCGCCCATTCCTTTGAAGATCTGTCGGTTTCGCACGTTAGATTTTGTTGCACTTGATGGGGGAGGAAAGGAAGACAGAGGAAATAGCTTACCTTTCCAGGAATCATATAATTGGCCAAATCACCATTAGCTCCAACTTGGAGTGCTCCAAGGACAGAAACATCGATATGGCCACCACGGATCATAGCGAAGGATTCTGCACTGTCGAAAGTGGAGGCACCCGGGATAAGAGTTACGGTTTCTTTACCGGCGTTGATGATATCGCTTGGAGGCATTAGTTTGTCGTCGATGTTCCACAAATGGAAGAAAACTTACGGATCGACCTCTTCTTCTGTTGGATATGCGCCCATTCCCAAAATACCATTTTCGGATTGAATCCAAACCTTTGTTTCAGGAGACAAGAAAGAAGGTGCGAGAGTTGGAATACCTACTCCACGTTAGCCATTGTTCGCCACAGCTCAAAACATGGGAACCAAACATACCAATACCAAGGTTAACATAGTAGCCATTCTTCAATTCCTTTGCAGTTCTCCTGGCAATTCTATCTCTTCTGATAATTGCATCTGATTTATTCGAAGTATCTTCTTTACCTTCTGGTGCACGAATCTTCTTCAATTCTAATTTCTTAGGAACGGTAGCTGGAACAATACGATCGATGTAGATTCCTTGAAGATGAACGTCGGCTGGAGCAATCGATCCAACTGGTACGATCTCTTCGGCTTCAACAATGGCGACTTTAGCAGCCTTGGCCATGATAGGTCCGAATGTTCTAGTGGTGTATCTATAATTTGTTAATATCATAATATCTTCAGTGTTGGATCACGAGGAATCACCTGAATTGACAGTTTCCAGCTTCATCGACTTTCCATGCTCGGAGAATAGCGACATCTCCTTTAATAGCTTTCTCCATCGAATAAGTCTTGCCGTCAAATTCTCTAGTTTCTCTTACTTGTCCTTTCTCTAAGACAGTATTTTCTTTTGAGCCTTCTGCTGGGGGACCCAATCTAGTGGGGATACCACCTGTCTGTAACAATGTACCTATAAACCATCAATATAAATATTCTTCATCTCATCTCATCCCAAAGATCGAGCAAATACTTACTAACACCAGTAGGGGTATAGAAAGCCGGGATACCAGCCCCACCAGCCCTCAATCTCTCAGCAATAGTTCCCTGAGGACATAATTCAATAGCGATTTTTCCCTCGAGATATTTCTTCTCAAGAACCTTATTACTACCGATAAAACTTAAAATTAAACGGTTTACTTGACCGGATTGTGTCAAGGCGCCTAGACCACCTGGTATCGATGCTCCAGCGTTGTTAGAAACGGCAGTTAAGGAATGAAGACTTTCTGGTCCTCTTCTTTCTAATGCTTCGATAATCGTTTCTATATTTCATATCAGAATCACATCTTATGAAGATCTCCTTTCTCAAGGATCAAAAATCATGCAGAAAAAAGCCAAAATAACATACCAGCCGTTCCACACAATCCGAACCCCGCACTCAAAATCGTCGATCCACTCTTGATATCCGCAACGGCCTCATCAGCATTCTTATATACTTTACTCGCGCCTCTGACAATCTTTGGTGCTTTGCTAACGTTCTCCTCATCTTTATATGGGTTTCGAGGCGCTTCTAAAAGTCGGGCATAGCTTTGAAAGTGTCGACAATCTCGTGATTTTTGACCCCACTGACAACGGATAGATGATGTTATGCGGAGGCCCGGAAGGCGAGTTGTGGTGAGAATACGGCGGGAGAGAGACATATTTTCAAATTGAGGAAAGATTCAGGAATTGAAGGTTAATTGATGGAGGAAAAGAAGTTTTTGTAAGAAATAGTAAATGTCGTTGACGCGATGAAATCGGCAATTGATTTGAAGCCGGGGAGTTAAGCGTCGGCTATTGATCTGGATCCGATGAAGGGGCGAGAATATTCACCAACTTCTCGATACAAAAAATGGGAATAATTCAACAAGAAGAATATGTATAGTTGTGAATTGAATGCGGATAATAGAGTATATATATATCTATCATTCAATTCAAATTAGTCCTCGATATTTGTCTTGACTCTTCTGCCCAGCCAGCGTTCAGACACAGACACTGTCGGGTAACCAATCCCCGGTAGAAGTAATCGGATAATGTCTTTTCCACCATTTTGTACATGTGCATATACCGAATACTTCTCCCGATTCTTTCACTGCCCCTTTATGGAGTTTCTCGCTTCAGAATTGTTAGGAGCGGAGTCAAAAATATACCGGATCGATTGGAGAATTAATCAAGTCAGCAGATCTGGGGATTTCAAAAATGTGATCAAACCCCACATTTCTAAGTTTCACGAACGAGTACCAAAATGATGCTCAATAAAATTTGCTAATCAGTCCTAAATTCAAAGCAAACGCTGAACCTCAAAATTTGACAGTTCCACCTCCATGTCCAGGTGATGCAAGAATGTTCAAGGATATAAGTCAGTCTATGTATGCTATAGGCACAAGAATCAAAAGAGCAAAAGTTCGATCAATGGAAGAGGTATTGAACCACACCCGATTTGAACGGATAACCTTTCGATCTGGAGTCGAACGCGCTACCGTTGCGCCAGCGGTCCTATTGATCTGTCTCGTTGAGTCTTTTTTCTTAATATATACCCATCAATCATGTTCACCTAGGAAGTGGGCAAAGAGGGGTTCCCATTGGAATCGGGGTATATGTTCCGAGAACGGATGTGGGGCTAGTGGGGGAAATGGAAATTCATTTTATGATTGCGGAGGTAAAGATCGCGGACAACTCAAGGTAAGAAGGAATTTTTCAAGAATAGATCACACGAGACACTGCCATAGATTGGATATGGCTGCCATCACCTTGACCGATGAACAGCAATTTAAATAACAAATAAATCCTCTTGACATCTTTGAAGTTGCTTGTACTCTTATCGATGTTGTCCCACTACACTCAAAGCTTGGCAGAACGAGAGTCGCTTCAGATACTTAGGGCGAGAGTTCAAGCATCTAATATTCAAAATTCGACTTTTGGAGCTCATGGCTCATTGAATATCTTTCCTGGATTCAATAGCCAACTATTTTGTTCTGAGTTAGCTTCCCCTCCACTTGAATGTTAGTTGGGGAAATACTTTGGATCAAGAGAATGCTTGAGTTTTTTCATAACAGTAATTGTATCGAGGCCGAGTTCCTTCATCAAGCAATCCTATTAAATTTATTAGCTAGGGGGCCGTAACCGAATTGTATTGAATATTTGAAGTTTTGCCGATGCTATACAGCTCAACCGAAACCCCAAATTCTCCTTACTCACCTTCTTACCGAGACCTATTCCATGCTCGCCCTAAATCAACTTAGCAATTGACCGAATACTTGATAATGCAAAGGTACTAACAGAACTAGTTCCTTCCATCTCCAATGCTCTGTCAAGCATATCATACACACATTTTTTGACAGCAGCTGTCTCGACTGGATCTTTTGGGTTATACATAACAGCTTGATGAAAATTTCCATCTCCTACATGACCCAGCACACTAGAAAATAAACCGAGTTTCCCCGATTCTGCTTTCGAAATATCTACAAAGGCATCAGCTTAAGTAGGTAGATAAGTGAAGTTCAATAAAATGATGGCCTACCTATAATCTCGGCTAACCTTGACATAGGTACTGCACAATCTGTACTCCAAATTTCTGTACCTGGTGGCCGTTGTGCTAGCATGGCCCATAGAGCTTCTTTCCTCGCGGACCATAGAACAGTCTTGTCTTCTTCTGTTCGTGCGAATTGAAAGTCTCCACCTTTCCATTGTTTGGCTATGGTCTGCACTCGCTGAATGTGGTCTTTTATTGCCTGCTCTGTACCAGAAAACCTATTTTCGTCAGTACGATATTGGCACTGGTAAATTAGTCAAAAGATAGATACTTGAAAAATAATGTCGGTCGCTCTTCCCACATCCTTCCTCCAGTGCCTCCATTCTTATTGATGACCTGCATCTGAACTTCATCCATAACTTCCATGGCCGCTAAAGGGATTCCTGTCCTAATGATTTTCGAAGCAGCTGTTGCAGCATCAGCAACAGAAGGAAATGTAACTACCGCAACACTAGTAGAATCGGGAACTACAGCCAACTTGAGAGTTATTTCTGTAATCAACCCCAAAGTTCCTTCTGCTCCTACGAAGAGTGAGGTTAAATTGTAACCTGCGGAGGTTTTACTACTTTATTGTTAGAGCAGATGATGCACGAAGATCAAATCAAAAGGTGGAAATATACCGTGGCCTT